AACTCAGGACTTCTAGAAGAAAGAGCAGTGCTCTTAACTGCTGAACCATCTCTCCAGCCCATCTTTGATTTTTTTACCATTGGCTTTATGACCTAAAGTGTAATCTACTTTCGAGAAAACTCCATAATATCTAAGAATCTGTACTCCTTGCTGTAATGCTCTTAATGGCTGTGCTGTCTTTCCTGCAGCTTTATCTTGTTTTTTTTCAGAGATCTCACCATGTAGCAGATCTGACCATGCAGCTTTGAGCTCACCAGCCTCTGCTTCAGCCCTGAGAGTGCCGGGCTTGTAGGTTTGAACCACTACTTGTGGTAGCCAAGTCAATCCTGAGCAAACCCAGCAATGTTAGTCATGCCTGGTGGCTCACACTTAGAGTCCTAGCACTGAAGACATTGAGGCAGAGAGAGAGAGAGAGAGAGAGAGAGAGAGGGAGGGAGGGAGGGAGGGAGGGAGGGAGGGAAGGAACAACCCAACAAAATAAGACATAGCACAGTGAAACTCAGCCTTAAGAGCCAAAGCAACCAATTAACAAACAAAACAGCACATAAAAGAAATAAGCTTAAGTTTTATGAGAACAGTGGGACCTCTGAGATCATTAGTGATGCTGTGGTCCCCCTTACCGTCTACCATCTTTATTGATAACTGTTTTTTCTAACAAGAACTTATGAATGATTCCTTATCTTTATTCTTCATGGAGTCATTGCCTCCCACTTTTGTGTTCCTTTTTTATTTTGTGTATGTTTATGTGTATGGGTGTGTGCTTGGTAGCCACATAAGATAGTGGCTACACTATTTGCAGAGACATATTTACTCCTCACAGAAAGCATATTGAGTACGTATATAGTAGAGAGCCAAGGGAGAAAGGGGACAGTTTTAAGAGTCAAGGACTTAGTCGTTAGTATCGTGTTGCTGCAGTGAAGACAAATTGAATAGGAAGTGACCCCTTTTCATTGTTAAAAGGTGTTTAAGCTTGTATGGTAGCAAACACCTATAATCCCCTCACTTGGAAGGCTGAGGCAGGAAGATTGCTATGAGCTAAAGCTAGCCTGGACTATGTAATATACCCCCTCCCACATAGCAAAAAACTAACATTGAAAAGTCTCTGGTAACTATGTAAAGTATGATTTCTACACTACTGAAGGTAAAGAGAGATAAATTTAGATATAGTAAGGATAGATAGATGACTTCAATGCCTAACTCTTAACAGTAGGTAGGTAATTAACAACAGTGATCGACAGACTTAAACTAACATACTTATCTGAAAGAGATACACAGTATTCTATCTAAAAGTAAGGAGTACAGATTCATAGATATCTTGAAATTTTCTCCAAAATAGATTGCAGTTTAGATCATAAAACAAAGTGGTGGCGCATGCCTTTAATCTCAGCACTTGGGAGGCAGAGGCAGGTGAATTTCTGAGTTCGAGGCCAACCTGGTCTACAGAGTGAGTTCCAGGACAGCCAGGGCTATACAGAGAAACCCTGTCTTGAAAAACAAAAACAAACAAACAAAAAAAAGATCATAAAACAAACATTAAAAACTGAAAGACAAAGAATTAAAAAAACAAAAAGCGCAACTTTATTTTTTTTCTAAAGATTTATTTATTTATTATGTATACAATGCTCTGTCTGCATGTATGCCTGAATACCAGAAGAGGGCACCAGCTCTCTTTATAGATGGTTGTGAGCCACCATGTGGTTACTGGGAATTGAACTCAGGACCTCTGAAAGAGCAGACGGTGCTCTTAACCTCTGAGCCATCTCTCCAGCCCAAAACCCAACTTTAAATAAATAAAAAAATAAATCTTCCCTCTAGGTCAAAACCACAAAAACCAACAATAACAACAATAAAACAAAAAACAAAACTAGTATGTTAGTAAAATAGCTGGGGATATGTCAGTTACTGCTAGTTAGAAACATATAATTTATATGAAAGCAAAAAAAGACCCTGATAACCAAGTCAATCCTGAGCAAAAATAGCAATGCTAGCCATGCCTGGTGGCTCACACTTAGAGTCCTAGCACTGAAGACATTGAGGCAGAATTACCATGAATTTGAGGCCATCTTGGGCTACCTAGTAAATTCTAGGCTACTGTGGGCTACAGTGTGAGATCCTGCCTCTGCCCCATTCACAAAACAGTTTTGGAGGTATAATAGTACCTGTTTTCAAATTATGCTTTAGAGCTGTGATAATAAAAACAGCATGGTACAGCACAAAAACAGACATGTAGGACCTTAGATGAGAAGATCACAGAAATAAACCTGATTATCGACAAAGGTGATTGATCCATATGTCTTAGTATTTCTACTAATGTAATGAAACACCATGACCAAAAAGCAGGTTGGGGAGGAAAGGGTTTATTTGGCTTACACTTCCGTATCACTGTTCATCATCAAAGGCAGGAACTCAAAACAGGGCTGGAACCTGAAGGCAGGAGCTGATGCAAAAGCCATGGAGGGGTGCTACTTACTGGCTTGCTTCCCCTGGTTTGCTCAGCTTGCTTTCTTATAGAACTCAGGACCAACAGCATAAAGATGGCACCACCCACAATGGTCTGGGCTCTCCCCCACTGACCACTAATTGAGAAAATACCATACAGCTGATCTCATAAAGGCATTTCCTTACCTAAGGCTCCTTCCTCTCTGATGATGCTAGTTTGTGTCAAGTTGACATGCAACCAGCCAGTACGGCATACATTGAAGAACAGCCTCTTCAACAAATGGTCAGAAGCTATGTATATGTACCCACAGTACAAGGGTAAGACTAGCCACATTCTCACCCAGCACAGAACTCAGTTCCAAACGGATTGAAGACTTTAATGTAAACATTGAAACCTTGGAGAATGTTAAAGGAAACAGGGACAGCACTTAAGAGATAGCTCATGGCAAGGACTTTTTGATAGACTCCAATTTGAGGAAATAGTAGCAAGAATTGACAGATATGAGTGCATGATATGTAAAAGCTGCATGACACTGAAAACAGACTGAAGAGACAACCTTTGGAGGGAAAGAGGATGTTCACTAGTTCCTCATCAGACAGGATTAACATGCAGTTATATAAAGAACTGAAAAAAATAACCAAGTATCCAGAAGTCCCAAGCCTATCAATAATCAGACAAATGAACTGAGCAGATAGGTCTCAAAAGAAATACCAATACCTCATAAACATACCTAAAATGTTCACCATCTTTAGCCATTAAGGAAATATAAATGAAAACTACACTGAGTCCATTTTGTACTAATCGGAATGGCTGTTATCAGCAAAACAAAAAACAAATGGTAGGGAAATCAATCTTAATGTTCCTCTGATTGAAATACAATTCAAAGCAAACAGTTGGAAAATAGAATGGAGGTTTCTCCATGGGAAGATTTTAATTGTGTGTGTGTCTGTGTCTGTGTGTGTGTGTCTGTGTGTGTACATACCCAAACACATACCATAGAGCATGTGTGGAGGTCAAAGGACGACTTGATGCAGTCAGTCCTCTCCTTCCACCTTTATGTGGGTTACAGGAATTGAACGCAGGCCTCAGGCTTGCATAGCAAGCACTTTCTCTTCTGAAACCATCTTGGTCAATAAGTAAAAATATTACCACATGATGGAGCTATACTGTTTCAAAGTATATACTTGAACATACTACAGAGATATTAACATTTATTGCAAAGTTGTTCACAATAGTTAAGTTATAGAACCAGTTTAAATGCCCATCAGTGTGTCAATGGATAATATAAATGTGATACACACACACACGTATGATACACACATACAATGGAAATTTATTCATCCATAAAAAACAAAATTATGCTGGCCAGTGGTAGTGTACACCTTTAATCCCAGCACTTGGGAGGCAGAGACAGGAGGATTTCTCCAGGACAGCCAGGGCTATACAGAGAAACTCTGTCTCGAAAAACCGAAAAGAAAAAAAAAAAAAACAACAACAAAATTACATTATTTACAGGAAAAAGGAGAACTGGAGGTCATTATATTAAGCAAAATAGCAGAATTTTGCAGTTGAAAATGAAGATTAAGGGCTCTGCCTGGTGGCTCACACCTTTACTTCCAGCACTTGGAACGCAGAGGCAGGTGGATCCCTGTTTAAGGCCATTCTGGTAGAGAGCTAATTCCAGGACTCAGGGCTGCACAAAGAAACTCAGTCCTGAAAAAAAAAAATGAAAAAAAAACAAAACAAACAAAGAAACAAACAAAACCAATTAAAAGGAGACAGGAAAAAGTAGATGTTAAAAAGAAAGAAAGAAAATTGAAAGGAGCTAGTTTGAAAAAGAAATGATTAATCCCAGCACTTGGGAGGCAGAGGCAGGCGCATTTCTGAGTTCGAGGCCAGCCTGGTCTACAGAGTGAGTTCCAGGACAGCCAGGGCTACACAGAGAAACCCTGTCTCGAAAAAACCAAAAAAAAAAAAAAAAAAAAAAAAAAAAGAAAGAAAGAAAAAGAAATGAATGGAGCAGTGGGAATGCAGCCGGGTAATGACGGGGATATGATCACAGTGTATGAGACATGTGTACGACTGTGACATAGTGTGATCCGCTGTACATGGATATACATAGTAATGGGTAGTCTCATTAGAAGTGGCTTAGTAAGTCTCAGAACATCAGAAGAGTGAGACATAGATAGGAAGGAATATTTAACAACAGTTAAATTGTTACACCATGTTCAGTAGCATCCAAATCATATGGGTACTATTTCTGGTACAGTAACTTCACGGTCTTTCATGTTTTGATGGACTGTATTTTCCTTACAGTGTTTGTGGTTCTCTTCCCACCAGTTTCTCTTCCTACTATGCTTGAGGTAGCTTATCTTCTCCCATGTGTATATATTTTTGCTGAGGCAGTACCATAATGTGCTTGTGGAGGTCAGGAACAACTTGTGAGAGTTGGTCCTCTCCATCCAACCATGTGGGTCCCAGGGATCAGACTCAGGCTGTTAATGTTGGCTGCAAGCGTCCCTACCCACTGAGCCATCAGAATGTTGCTTTTCTTATTCAGTGGCCTTCAGATTCTCAAGAACTGAATTCTAAGGACCTTTCAACGGGCTCACAGTTTGTAGGCCTCATGGCAGTTCTCACAGCCTGTTTTTCAAGTGGCTTTGCTGGAGTTTATTTTGAGAAAATCTTAAAAGAAACAAAACAATCAGTATGGATAAGAAACATTCAACTTGGTAAGTTTTAAAGGCTTTCTAATATATCTTTCTAACTAACTATACCTGTCATGTATGGTGATGCACACCTCTGATCCTAAGCACTCATGAGGCGGAGGCAGGAAACCAAGACAAAGATTTATGTTCTTACCTTTGTAGAGCTCCCTCAGTCTTTAAGTACATAGGCCTTGAATGTAAATGTGCTGTTGATACAAAGAACTGGTAATGATCTTGCCCTTAGAAAACTGGATTTGGGCCAGGCAGTGGTGATGCACGCCTTTAATTCCAGCACTTGGGAGGCAGAGACAGGCGGATTTCTGAGTTCGAGGCCAGCCTTGGTCTACAGAGTGAGTTCCAGGACAGCCAGAGCTACACAGAGAAACCCTGTCTTGAAAAACCAAAAAAAAAAAAAAAAGAAAAGAAAAGTAGGTTGATGATCCGAGAGAGTGTAGCCTGCTCCTGCCCTCAATTGTGGAGTCTTAACATGTTTATCTGTATTGCTTCTTCTTTTGCAAAGATGCTACAACTAATTTACATATTTTACTCTTAAAATGGAAGAAGTTGGAAATGAAGCAATTTTCATCTCTTTTACATCATAACATGCTGTTTTATTTCAGTGTAATGCTTTGTCTTTTTACCATACTCCTTCCTAACTGGTGGGAAATAGCTTAGAAGGGAAGAGTGTTTTAGCATTGGTTACAAGTATTTAAAAAAAACAACAAAACAAACAGAAAATAAGACCGGCTGAATGAATTATTATTTTGATTAGGTAGTATAATTAAAATTGTACTTTGGAAGATACAGAGAAAATGTAAAGTAAAAGAGAATCCAGAGTCAAATTTCCTGGAGTCAATTATTGAGTCCATTTCATTGTGTAAACTTTTCTCATCAATAAAATAAGCATACAAGTGTCGACTCAAGGGGCTTGCAGTATGTTAGTGTCCATAAAGCATTTGGAACAAAGATTATATAGATATCTAATATTATTAGTCGGTGGAATATCCAGCCACTATTAGAATGTGAAAGGACTATCTATTATATACTGACATAATTCATATGTTTTCTTGTATGCTGTTAGACAGCCTTCTGTCACTATGACAAACAAGATGATAAATCAGCTTACAAAGAGATAACATTTGCTTTGTCTTAAAATTTGGGGGCTTCAAGCTGATGTTCCATTGATTTTTTTTTTTTTTTTTTTTGGCCTGTGGCAGAGCAGGACATCATATCAGAATATGCAAGGCGGAGGAAACTATTTATTTATGGTGGCACAATAGACAGAAATAGAGAGGAAGAGATGACGGACCCACAGTCCTGGTCATATGCGTGCTTCCAAGCGACCTATGGCTTCCCAGTAAGCCCACCGTTGTAGTGGTGAAGAGAGAGAGAACAATCCTTGAACACTTGGGGGTTTGGAGGACTTTCTAGCTCCAACATGTACTAAATATGTACTTTAGTAATTGTCACATTTTAATTTTTAAGTTAAAATTTAAATGTATGCCTTTGGGCATTTTTTAAAAGTGATATGCCATGGTTAGTTTCATACTAAAATGAGACATATTAATGGTTCAAGCTTGGACAAATGAACTTTACATGGTCCTCACACTCTACCTAGCTACAGCTTTATTCAAAACCATCACACATACCCTCTTTGATGGCATTCATAATGTGTGCCATAAGATGTGCCCCCTGTACATTTCTGTAAGCTAGTGGTGCTCTAGGTGTGGAGGCTGTATTGGCATGTGGATTTGAGCAATGAAGTTCGAGCCAATTTCCTCTAACACTGAGACTTGAGTAGTAAGTACAGAATCTAATGATGGCTTTGACTACTTCTTAGCCTGGAGTTTTGGTTATCAAGTATTGTACTTAAAAAAAAAAAATCTTAAAGTTTATTATTTTTTTTTAAAAAAAACTTACAAATAAAGAACATCACATGTGGAATGTAGTCAGCCATAGACTATATAACTCTGAACTTTCCAGTTAGAGTAGGCATTTGGACTAGAAGCTGTGGCACTTCACATGGAGTTTGCACTTTTACTATCAAGTATATTTTTATGCACATGTCTACTACCCCCCCCCCCCCCCGAAAAAAAAAATTCATGACAGACTTAGAACTAGAAAATCAGTTAGCTTTATATTCTTTTTTGTGACTCATATTGATTGCCTGTATTAATTAAAAATTTTACAAAGAGGCCAGGCAGTGGTGGCGCACGCCTTTAATCCCAGCACTTGGGAGGCAGAGGCAGGTGGATTTCTGAGTTTGAGGCCAGCCTGGTCTACAGAGTGAGTTCCAGGACAGCCCGGGCTATACAGAGAAACCCTGTCTCAAAAAACAAAAACAAACAAAACAACAACAACAAGAACAACAAATTACAAAGAAATATGTCATATGTGTTAGTTTTCTTTTATGTAATTATGAATGTTACTCATACACATGTGGCCAATAGGAAAATTGATGATACAGTGGAATGCATTTTACAAATGCTTGAATGGATCACCAATCTAATACTTCAAATTCTGTAATTTAAATATTATTATAGTGTTTGATGGTTGGTAAATTATTTTTAAAAATATTTTCATGCCTATCTGCTTATGTTTATGTTTTGTAGTCATCATATAGTATTATGTAAAATTTGTTGTTTATATATAAATCAAGTGATTTGGTTTTTTCCTGAGGCAAGGTTTCTCTAGCTGTCTGGGACTCACTTAGTAGACCTGTTTGACTTCAAACTCAGAGATCTATCTGCCTCTCCCTCCCTAGTGCTAGGATTAAAGGCATGCACCACCACCACCACCCAACTCAAGTGAAATATCTTTTAAGGTATTCATCAAAAAAAAGAAGTTGTGCAGCGTGGCACAGGCCTGTAGTCCCAGTACTTGGGAAACCAAGGCAACAGGAACCAGAGATCCAGTCCAGTTTGTGCTAAATGCCTAGTCAGTCCCAGGTTATCCTCCAATGCAAAGCAGGACCCTGCCAATTGGAGCAGGGGAAGAAGGAAACAGGATTGTCAAAATATCTCTTCAGAAAAACTACTCATAACCTAGGTTTTACTTTCTTTTAGGTTTCTTTGGAAGTATATTTGGATTAATGGGTGTATACATTTATGATGGAGAATTGGTATCAAAGAATGGATTTTTTCAGGGATACAATCAACTGACGTGGATAGTTGTTATTCTGCAGGTAAAGCATATAAGTCTTTTATTTAATACTACTGAATATTGCTTCAATACAGAGAATTAAAATGGGTACCAGTGTGTTGGTATTTTAGGGGTACAGACCTATTGATTGGTAGATAGATGGATGGATGGATGGATGGATGGATAGATAGATAGATAGATAGATAGATAGATAGATAGATAGATAGATAGATGGGGCATGCATGCAGGCAAAATATCCATATACAATAAATAAATTAATAATGGTATTTTTTTAATTAAATAATGAAGCTGGGCTGTGGCGGCACACACCTTTAAGCCCAGCACTCTGGAGGTAGGAGGGTTTCTGTGGGTTTGAGGGCAGCTTATTTACATAGTGAGCTGCAGGACAGCCAGGGCTATATAGAGAGACCCTGTCTCAAAAAATAGTATTTAATAGTTAAAACTAAGGGTAAATATAAGTTTCGATTTTTCTGCTGCAATTATCATTGCATAGAAAAGCTGTGGTCAGCCCTTTAAAGATGGAAGGAGCCTCTTGAGATAATTATGCAAGTTTTTAAGCTTTATATTTATATATTAGAATGTTTCAGTCAAATTTCTTCAGTGTGAATGTGGCTTTAATTTTACAAGAGTTGACTAATTTCATCTCCAAAGATATATCTTGATATTCTGGAAAATATAAAAATGAAGAAATCATTTTTCTTAAAACGTACTTTGCTAGAGTTGTTTGAAGTCATAAGGCTTGAGGACCTGGCAAGTAGAGAAGTGTCAAATGATTGTGGTGCTCTGAAAGTAGGAAGGGTGTTTGCGTTTTTATAAAAGGAGGAGAAGACACAAAGGGGAAGCTAGAGGGAATTGAAAGTGGAGGTATGGGAAACATAGAGAACTTAGAAATGATATAGTTTACCTAATTACGGGAAAGCTCTCCTTTTAAGAGCAGGCTAAAACTGTTTTGTTTGTTTTGCTTTAGAAAGGATCTCTCTACATAGCTCTTGCTGGAACTCAATATGTGTATACCAGGCTGGCCTTAAAGTCACTGCTGGCTCTGCCTAGTAACTGCTGGAGTTAAAGGCGTGTGCCACCATACAACATTTGTTTTTAAATTGTTATAATTGGTATGAAGAATTTAACAGAGAGTAAATAGATGAATAATAGTATTTCCCTGAAATATTGTTTCAAGCAAAATTTTTAGTAAGTCCAATGGGATAATTTGTGACTTTTATAAATTAAACTTCTGTCATTGTAGAAGGCAGTTAGAGTGGGTATCCTTGGTTTGGTTTGGAAGCAGATATATAAGGTTTGATAGAAAACAAAACCAGGTCATACAGATGGTCTTTTATCAGTTTGAGATAATTAAGAGTGTGAAATTTTGGAATATTTGCATATATATAATGAGATATCCTGTGACTATGACTCAAGTCTAAACAAAATTTTGTTTTATGTATGAGCATACATGTAGCCTGGAAGTAATATTAATACAGTTTAAATTCCACCTGCATTGTATGACTGACCCATCAAATGTGACAGGTGTAGACTTTCCATCTATGCATCAAAGTAGTATAGTGTTTTCGAGCATTTGGATTATTGTATAGTAAAGTCTCGTGTGTGTGTGTGTGTGTGTGTGTGTGTGTGTGTGTGTGTGTTTGTGTGTGTTCTGTCTGGATTGAACCCAGTGCCCTGATACCTACTAGGTAAATAATTTACGACTGAGCTACCCATCACTCATTAAGGGTTTTTTTGTTTGTTCGTTTGTTTGGTTTTTTTACTTACTTAATTGTATGCGTATATATGTGTGCCTGAGTGTATGCATGGATATGCAATGCCTGCAGAGATCAGAAGAAACATCAGAACCCTTGGAACTGAAGTTGCAGATGGTTGTGAGCTGCCTAACATGGGTGCTGGGAACTAAACCCAGGTCTTCTGCAAGAGCAGCAAGCACTCTTAACCACTGAGCCATCTCTCCAGCTTCCCCCCATCTATTTGTAAGTAGCCACAATCTAGAGTTTGAGAATGATTTGGAGGTTCTTTATATGCTGTGGGGATAGCTCAGACAACTTAGCTACCGAGTAATAGGTTTGGGGTCTAATTTCTAGCACTGAAAAAGAAGGAAGGAAGGAAGGAAGGAAGGAAGGAAGGAAGGAAGGAAGGAAGGAAGGAAGGAAGGAAGGAAGGAAAGAAAAATCACTCCCAAACCAAACCAAACAGTACATCCTGATGGCCATAAGAGGTAGATTAGAATGTAGGGGGAAATTGGAGAATAAGGCTAGATGAGAAGACTGTTGGAAAAGAATTAAAAAGGGTTTTCTTCAAGCTTAAACCTCCTATGTATTTGTTTCTTCAGCTGTCCAAACAAGTGCTGTTTAATTATTGAATTTGATGAAAATAGACCATCTGTAATTTGATCAAATTCTACTACTGCAAACCTTAGATTGCTTTGATGCTTACATTGAGGGCTATGAAACAAAACTGAAAGTCTGTTGTTTTTAATGTTCATATGAATCATTTGCTGGGATATAATTATATTTCTAGAACAGAAGCTTTAAATCTTCCCTGAGAAATGAAATTGTTTTGAAAAGCAGTTTTCATCTAAAAAAATACTCTGTTAAAATTTTGGCAGGCACTTGGAGGCCTTGTAATAGCTGCGGTCATCAAGTATGCAGATAACATTTTAAAAGGATTTGCAACCTCCTTATCCATAATATTGTCAACAGTCATATCTTATTTTTGGTTACAAGATTTTGTGCCAACCAGGTAAAGTACTCCTTTCTATTTATCTTTTTTCCTTTCCATTCTAATTCTTTCTTTTATGTCTTATTTTGTTGTTCATATTACCATGATTCCATTTAGGTTTGCTTATTCACTTTCCAAAAGTTCATTAAGTGGCCAGCAATCACTCTGCTGGATTCTTGAAAAAAGAAACCTATGAATGAGGTGATATGTTCAAGAAGATCATAGTGACTAGAAAAGCAGACACAAGATTAATTATAACATGGTCAGCATGTGAATGGCAGTATATATACAGCTCGTTAAAGAGGGGGCTCAAATCATTGAATAATCATAGTATGATAACTTTTCTGTTTCTGATGAAAGAAGAGTACATAGCTGAGCAGGGTAACAAATGTGCAAATAATGTATTAATCACAGTGTGGTAAGTAGTAGAGTAGCTAACTCTAGGGGAGTGAGTCTTGGACAGTAGACCTGAATTACTGTCAATAAACACTTGTTGATAGAAAGGGAATTGTGGTTGAGGTACTAGGATCCACCAGATACCAGTGTCAGGAAAAAGTGCACGAAGTCAAACAGCTGGATTTATAGAATGGGGGAGGGGGAGTGTGAAAGGTGTTGTTGGATGGAGCACACTGGCACACGCCTTATCCATGAAGGTCAGGTAGAACTGTAATGTTTGAGGCCAGCTTGGGCCACATAGTGAAACCGTGTAACAAATAAAGCAAAGCAAATAAAAAGCCTCTTGTCATGGGAAGGGTAAAGACCAGTGATTCCTGTCCTTTTAGATTTTTTGTTTTTAAGTTGAAGGTAATGACTTTGAAGCATTAATAGAAATCTTAAAGCCAGAACTAATCTATGACTCTAGCTGCATTAAAACTGTATATAGCAAGTTACAGATGGTAGTTTGGTGTATGTCCAGTTTCTATGAAGTATATTGTATTTCTACATACATAGTACCAAGAGGAAAGAGTGTGATGTCATCTCCTTCTTTTAAACATCCTGTAAACATTGGTCTTGAGTTTTATTATTACTTTGGATTTTGAACTAAATTTAGCATAAAATAATGAACTTCTTTTATATATATATTTTAACATTTTGGGCTTTTTATGAAATCCCATACAGAATGTGCATGTAGCTGAGGTACTGCACCATGAAGTGTAAGCCAGGGTGTGTACTGCATCCTACCTATTTGGGACTTTGGGGCAAGTTTTTAAAGCCCTGTAATGCCTTTCCCAAAGGTACAGAATGCAGCTAATTCTTGTACTGTTTCAAGTCATTCAAGAACAAAAGTTTACATGTAAGGTACTTAGCTGAGCACCTGGATCATAGGAAGTACTCAACATTTATTAGTATGTTTCTGGAATATGTCATTCTCAAATTACAATTGTTTTTATAGTACAGATATAGATATAGTACAGATACAGTGCATTAAAGAACTTAATTTGCTTTTAATCTGACTTTCTCCTTTCTTTTTCTTCATCCTATTTAGTGTCTTTTTCCTTGGAGCCATCCTTGTAATAGCAGCTACTTTCTTGTACGGTTACGATCCCAAACCTGCAGGAAATCCCACTAAAGCATAGTCATGTCCTATCCTTAACTGGATTTTCACAATGGTGCCCTAGGAACCTCAACATTAATCTTGCACAGAGGACTTCTGCAGATTCTATGAAGAAATCATCATGCTAAATCTGATCATTCTGTTCAAATGGTTTGAAAATGTGTAGCCTTCAGGACGAAATGTGTACATCGTCTGCAACCCAAGCTTGGCAGTGTGTCCAGGAAGTAGGGTTAGAGGGGATACTGGGAGGAGGCCTTAAGTCTGAGCTCATAATGACATCAGCCTTTTAGTTGCTGCAGAACTGTCCAGTGCAGCCTTTGCAAGAGCACATGCATACAAATAAAGACCAAGGTTTGCAAGGTAGATCTGCCGACACTTATCACACGTTCTTAACCTTACTCTTTCTGTACAGATGTATCAAGTTATATGAACTATTTAAATGGAAATTTATAATTGCCTATCAAGCTGTGAACAAACAAATATAATTTAAAACCATTTTCATGTATTTCATGGGATTTTTTATATTTATACAGAAGATTACTAAGGAAAGGATTGCTAAATTTTATTTAATTCCATAAGACATGATGAAGTAATGATCTGGGTTTGAATCATATTTAAATTTAGTGTAGAAAGAATCTGTCTCTCTGTGTATGTCTGACCATTTACTGCTTTGAGACAGCTGAATGCAGTTTGGTTCTTCCTATGCTAGAGTAGAAGGGTCTGGCACTAATGGAGTTTACCCATCATTTCCCAGTTGTGTTTCTCTTCTCGTTATTCTCATCATTACCTTAAGTTGAATTTGTATGTGTTGCCATTAAACATTTTAAATGAATTTAAAGGGATTAAGTACTCATTTAATAATTAAAAATAAGATAATGATTACTGTCCAGTCTCCATGTGGAGAAATGTAAACTATGAAACATATATTGTATGTAGTTTTGAAATGAAGAATTTTCTTGTTAATCTGAAGTAGGAATTTCTTTTAATCTCCAACTGTTGACAAAAACAATCAAAAGAGTATTATTAGTTCTCTCAGTGGACCATGATCAAACTGATTTTCTTGCAGACATTCCCTACTGCCATAGTGTTACTTTCTTTTTTCCTTTTCTTAAAGCCTATTGTTACTTGTTTGTTTTTTTTCCTTAAGGCAGATTTTCATTATGTAGACCAGACTGGCCTTGAACTCACAAATATCTACCCGGCAGTCTGTGCCTGCTGAGTGATGGGATTAAGGGTGTGGTGGACCACCCTGCCCCCCTCACTACACTGTTTTAAGTGAGTTGCATTATATTTTAAGTTCTAAGGCTATTTAGAAGTTTTTATGTCTTAAAGCTCACTCTCCCCAGGAACACTCTGATCCTGTGTCTGGAAGATGTGACTGCCTTTGGGGTTTCCTTTCTGGTGTTCCCATGAGTGCTTCTGTGAAGGAGCAACCATTTGCTTTAAAATAGTAGATTTTCTTTCTTTTTAACACTGGAGTTGAGGATACAAATTATGAGTTATTTAATAATAGATTCAAAGGAGAGAGAATATATTAGAAATAGTAAAACTGGGTGGCAAAAATGCATTCTATATTTGGAATATAAGTTATTTAATTATTGACCATTTGCAGAATTACCTATTGAATATAAAATCTATTTTATTCTTTCATTTATATTGTATATATTTTAAAACTTTGTTCTTATAGATACAAACCTATAAAAAAGGTAACTATTTTTTATGTAGTTCTAATAGATTTTGTTAAATGGAGTCTGACTCAAAAGCACTATTGTAAAGAACTGTAAGGTTCCTTTGGCAACCTTGGATTGGCTAGTTGATCTTTGCCAGAGCAGATGTACTTTCAACAGTGAACCTGGCTAACTGATTCCATTCAGAGTTTGAAAGTGTGAAAATGATAGAATATTTAATGTCATTGCACCAATGAGGATATAGTGATAGCAGGCTTTCTGAGTGCCACGTTTATAGTTTTCAGTGACTGCCTTTTAGAGATTGAATATTTTGAGCATGGTGTGAAGCCACCCCAGCATTCAAGCTTATGTCCTAGGACCTATGACTAAGTGCAACCCAGATCTTGCAAATATACAAAATTCAAGAGGACCAATTCATGTTCTGCTCATATGAAAGCATTGTGTGGGCAAGCGTGTTAATACAGTGTGGATTCAAAATCAGTGGTTACTTAGATCTAGTCTACCCTGTCTTAACCCTACAGAAATATATACAAAGAAGTAATTGGATAGTAAGGTGGTTAAAGTTTTAATACCTTTTAGGTGTCTGAAAATCTTTTATGCATCATTTATATTTTTCCTTTCTGGTCAGTTAAAAAGTAATTGGGCTGAATGTATAGTCTAAAAATTTATAAGGAAATAATAATGTTTGTAGGAACATGGACTTGTAACCTAGATTGTGTCATATATATTGATGCTGAAATTTTGTGTAATGTGGTTTGTGTTTTGATGACATTCAAAGGTGTTATTGTGTCATGCTTTTATAATAACTTTATTTAAATTTTATGCTTTTAAAGGTGTGCTTGTTGTTTCTTAGCTACTTTCACTAAAAGACCATGTGAATTCCTGGAGAAGAGTGCCAGCTGAGAGCTGTATTCAAGTTAGGCCCAGCACAGTGGGAGAAAGAGTGGTATCCCAGGCAGACCCCAGCAGCAGCAGCAGCAGCTCTTTACTGAGTGGTTTTCAAGTTGTGAGTTTCCTTTATAATATAGAACATAGAGGTTAGAGATTCAGAACTGAAATGTTTACATCAATTTCTACTGAATGACACAGAATTTCAGAAAAGGCAGCTTGATATTTAAACCAGAGCCTGTTAAAAAATTCCAAAAGGAAATTAATCGACATTCTGCTCTGAACCCTAAAATAGAATACTATCTTACAAATCAAGTTACTAGACTTTTAGAATGTCATTATACTGTCATTCATTGAAGTGTTTTTGTTTTGTTATCTTTTTGAGGCAACATCTTAACTATGCCACCCTGGCTGCCTGAGACTTGCTGTGTAGACCAGGCTGGCCTGGAACTCACAAAGATCTGCCTGTTTCTGCCTTCAGAGTGCTGGGATTAAAGGTGTGCACCACCACCCCCATTTGAGTTTTGTTTTATTTAGTTTTTAAAGAAAGGCCTTAGTGTCACTCCTTCTATTTAAACATTCATTGTAGAATATTTGACTACTTTTTAGATATATCTTTACATGGTATTTATAAAAAGTAATTATGTTTTATTGAAAGCCACCTCAAGGATCTCCAAGATATTTAAAGAAGTTACGGCCAAAGAAAATGCACCTTTCTCACAATCTGGTCCTATGTGCCTTGCTTTACCAAATAAATACCTGACTTTTATGGAGACTCTTCTGTAATTTACAACTTTAGACACATACTTGAAAGTGGGATTTTTTTTTTCAAGAATATCTATAATTCTAGATTTTGGTTGTTTCAACATTTTCCCTTTAAATACTACGTATCCTATAAAAGCATCCATGAACAGCACTTGCTTAAATGAGTTGGGATACCAGCATCATGATTCAGGTTTGAGACTTTAACAGTTGTATATAATTGGTTGTTGTTTCTTTTCTTGTAAATCATGATTTGTTGTGATTTAAAACAATATTTTTAAATGATTTTAACCCTAAATTGATATATGTCTGTATTTCATTTACAAAAAGTTATTTTTTTGAGGTTTGAGAATGTGATTTGTATGTTTAAATTTTTATGGATACATAATTCAAAGCAATGTATAAACTATTTTTAGGGGGATTTTTAAATGATAAATTTCTCATGTCATTTTTTTGGTATCATTATTATCTATATTTAATAGATACAGGAAATAGATTATTTCCATAAATAACTACATATATTTTTCTATATTTCCACTTTCCCTTTTTATCTTGTGTCTGATTAATCTGGGGATTGGTTTCTTATTTTTATATTTCAGGAATGAATTGTTTATCTTCATCTCTTGGAAAGTTTTTATCACAAGTAATTTTGCTTCCTTTTCTTTGTTCTAGCCAGAAACTAGCTTTTATTTCAAGTGGTTAGAATTTCTCTGCCTATATAGTGATCACAGCCCAAAAGTATTTTGTTTGAAATAAAATACTTCTTTGCTGCTGGCAGGTTCAGGAGTTACTCAGAATCTTTCCTTCACTGCTTGAGTGGGATTGCTTCTGCCATGACACCCATGCAGTCAGTCCCAAGCCAAAGTGACATAGCAGCACACACATGTTCCCACCTCTGTGTCCACCTAGCTACACCTGGACCGCTCTAGGAACCCAGGAAGGTTAAAATCTCAGCCTTTAAAAACAAAGGTTGGTTTGTCTGTTGAGTTCTCATGAAAAGTACTAAGTGAATTTTTTTGCTATTCTTTTCTGTTAGCATAGTTCTTTTGAGACTAGAAAAGTAGCTCAATGGTTTAGAGAACATACATTTCATTCCCAGCAACCTCATTAGACAACTTACAACTATCTGTAGTTCAGATAGTTGTAATCCAAGTGATCTGAGGCCTCTGTTCTCTACCAGCCCTTGTATTTATGTGCACATACTCACATGCAGACACATACCTTACATGTAAATTAAAATAATAAAAGCTAGGTGTGCTGACATATGCCTTTATTCCCAGGACTTGGGAGCAGAGGCAGATAGATAGGTCTCTGTGAGTTTGAGGCTGGGCTGATCTATATAATGAAATCTTATCTCAAATTAAACAAAGAAACAATAAAAGAATAAATAAAACTAAAAGTTTGCCAGGCATGGTGGTACACACAGGTTCAGGCAGATCTTTTGAGTCTGAGATCATGCTGGTCTACATTGGGAGTTACAGCATAATTAGGGCTACATAAGTGAGATCTTGTCTCAAAAAAAAAGAGAAATCTTTCTTTTGAAAAGGCCTCTTTTGCTAGGAGCACATTACAAGCCAGATGAGCTGGTACAGCCTTGGACTCCAGGTGCTCCTAGGGCTGAGGCAATGGGATTCCTTGAGGCCAGTGTGGGCTACCGGCAAGTCTTAAGGGCAAGCCTGCCTTTCACAGTGGAACCCTGTCTCATCTCTTTCCCCCTTTGTTTTTCTTCTTTTTCCTTTTTTCTCTTCCTCTCTTTCTCTCCTTTTTTACTTATATCTCTGAGAATTTTGGTTTCTATTTATTTTATGTTCTCTCCATTTTCCTTATCAGTTATATTTGATTTTGTATTCAATGTTTTGGTTTTCTGTAACATTTGCCACTTGAGTAGCTTTAATCATGCTGTGATGGACTATAGCAGTGGATCTGTGAAAATGTCCCGGGCTGTATCTGTGAACGCACAGAGATGATGCTGTGAAAGAACTCCTTTTGTTGATTTTAGGTTTGAGGCAGTATCTCACGATGCAGCCTGGGTTGTCTTAAAGCTTATTATGTAGCTAAGGCTGACTTCAACCATTTCCTATTCCTGTCCTCTCCTGGGCACTGGGCTTCCCCCCAATACCACCTGATAGAACATTTAAAATAAATTTTTAAAGTACATGGGTATTTTGCCATGTAGATCTGTGCAGTTCTTTTATACCTGGTGTCCAAGGAGATCAAAAGAAGGGATTGGACCCTGTGGTACTGAAGTTCCAGATAGTTGTGAGCTGTAATGTGGGTTCTTGGAATTGAACTCCAGTCCTTTGGAAGAGCATCTACTGCTCTTAACCGCTGAGCCATCTTTCCAGCCCCCTTAAACTACATTTAAAAACATTTAGGGGCTGGAAAGATGGCTCAGCGGTTAAGAGCACTGACTACCCTTCCAGAAGTCCTGAGTTCAATTCCTAGCAACCACATGGTTGCTTTCATTTTTAGAAAAGAAACATTGTAGCCTCTGCTAGCCCAGCGCTCTCAAAATACCCAATGCAGTCCTTTCTCTGGCCCCAGCCTCCTGATTGCTGGGACAGCGGGCATTAAGTTTGATGTCATGGTTTTTGTTATCTGTCTTCTTACAGTAAAACAATTTGGCTCCTAATATTAACATACTTGTGTTTTATTATGAATTTAAATGCTAATGACAAACATACTGTGTAAAACTATGTTTATTTGTATTTTTGTTTATTAGAATATAGCCAGTCCACTAAAGTTATACATTCAAAGCATGTATTTAAAGTTAATATGCTTAAAAGCATGCATTTAAAAGTAAGGCCAGGCATGACAGCATACACTTTTTTTTCATTTAATTTTAAATTTTTTTTTTTAAAGATTTATTTATTTATTTTATTTATGAGTACACTGTCGCTGTCTTCGGACAGACCAGAAGAGGGCATCCAATCTCATTACGGATGGTTGTGAGGCACCATGTGGTTGCTGGGATTTGAACTCAGGACCTCTGGAAGAGCAGTCAGTGCTCTTAACCGCTGAGCCATCTCTCCAGCCCCTAATTTTAAAATTTTTTACTTATTCACTTTACATCCTGCTCACTGTCAACACCCCACAATACTTCCCTCTCCTCCCTCCCCTTTTCTGGCATATCCTTTTGATCCCAGGATTCAGGAGGCAGAGGCAGGATGATCTCTGAGTTCCAGGCCAGCCAGTCTTACATGGTGTGACCCTGTCTCAGAAAAAAGGAAAAAAAAATGGAATTCAGGTCTTCTCTGCATGGTTATTAATATAACAAAAATAGGCTCACTAGTTTTTATTGTATCCAGTTTTATAAATTTAAGCTTTTATTGAATTTACCATTTTTTTTTTTACCGGATTCAAAAGTTATATGAGTGAAAATTTATAATTCACAGAGAAGGCTCCTTAGTTCCTATGTCTGTCCCACACCATTGGCAAGTGCCTTCTGTGGAGAGTAATTTCCACCAGGTTATAGTTCTGTTTCTTTCTGAAAGGCGAACATATGTGTCACTATATTTACAGTGCTGCTTTTCCTACACGATCGTGTTCTCTGTTCTGTAAGGCTTTTTCTGAGTGAGCTCTGTGTATTCTTAGTGATCCTCTCTACACCTACTCGTTTTGTTAACTTTTCTAAACTACTTTTGTGCTTTGGCTCTCACCTAATTGTCCATGTACCTAAATTCAGTGAACACTGTCATCCTTATTTTACCGTCAGATCTTTTTAGTTGTGTTATTTCTATTTAATGGGAACGTACACACTATTTTTTAACCCTAGTTTAAAAAAAAAAACCTAACAAGCACTATTGTAGGTATTCAAATAGCTTGAATAACTGACAATCATCATATTTTAAAAGTAACTTTGATATAGATGAAGTATGATTTTGGGAGGTCATAAAAAGTTTAGAGTAACCATATAATATTTTTTTCTCTTCTGGCTCTTATGTAACCCATGTCTAACCTTGCACTTGCTCTAGAGGCTGGTCACTCTAGAACTCCTGGTCACTCTGTCTCTACATCACAAATGCCGGGACCACAGGTGTGCACGGCTACACCTGCCTTAATCTTTAATCCTTTACACCCATCCAAAATAAGTTCTCAGGATTTAGTTATGCAGTCTCTCCCACTCTCAACAGCTTCAAGTTGGACTTCAAGAAGTTTCTATATGAGAATTTTATTTTTTAAAGTAAGTATGATGAAAAACCTTACCATCCAAGATGCTTTTCTTTTCCCATCCATGAAAATTGGTTTATTTTCCATTTCTCGTCAGCATGGAAGTACAAGGAACAGAACATCCAACCAGGTTTATTTTTAACATTTTATTTTGAACTTTACAGAAAAGCTACAGTAACTGTCACATTCATATGTGCCGCATACTCGGTCCTTTACCTTGTCTAACAGTTACTTATGCCATGTAACAAATAGCCCAGTGTTCAGTGGCCTGAAGAATCTACCCCTGCCTATTTTAAAGACAGGGTCTCGTATCCCTGGGCTCTCACATTTGTCCTTGAATTCCTGATTCTCCTTCATGCCAGGATCTAGGCATCCACTTCCATGCTGGGTTCACTGAT